ATTTGATTTGATTTGATTGCACTGTTCTATTGACTGTTGACTAAAACACACTGAGAGCCTCTGTGCCTGAAACAAATTCCTTGTATGCTCGACATACTTGCCAATCAAAGTTGATTCTGATTTCTGATTCTAAACTACAGTGTAGTTTGGTAGCCTATACACCATTCTGACTCTGTCCAGCAGATGGCGGTATGGACCTGCCATCAGCTGCTAATAACAAATAGAAGTAGACCACAGTCTGCCGAGAAGCCTCATTGGCTGAGCCTATTTGACGTCAGCGTAACTTCCGATAGTCAGAGGTGTCAACATGGCAGCGTTGGATGTTTTTGTGGATAATTTGGTGGCACTCTGGAGGGTAACAGCCTTCCGACAAAATTTCCATTGGATATTTTTACTTATTTCACTCGTGGGATCATTTCTGAAGGAGCTGGAGCTCGTCCCGCAGACATATTTCAGCAGTAGCAGAAATTTTCTGAACGTGTAAGTAGTTAAATCTGGTTTTGTTGTTAGCTTGCTACGGTTAGCAACAGAACTGATTCAGTGAGCACACCTGTGGTTTACTTGAAGGTCACTTGCTGACGAGAGAAAGGGAAGAAGGTGAAAGTGCCACCAGGAAAAGTCCCATTCTTAGTAGGACACTTTGAATTAGAGTGTAAATGTCCTGAACCATGTGAACCACACTTTGATGTTTGGATGAAGCACAAGCGACCTTCATGTGCAGTGTGAGCCAAAGGGTCACAGTCTAAGTAGCAGCCACAGGGTGATGATGTTACAGTGAGTCTACAGCCCCTGTCTACCTGCAGTCTTCTCTCAGTATCAGCTGTCTGGTGCAGTGTGACCAGTGTTTTTGTTTCTCTTGTTAACAGTGTAAGGGATGCATTGCACTGCAGAGGCATAGTGATAAAAGTAGACATTGAAGTTTATTTCAAAATGTCCTTCCTGCTCTTCGGTGCTGCCTTTACTGAACAAAAGTCAAGTTATTAAAAACAATGAAAAAATAATGAAAAAAAAAGAAAAATACTTGTTCATAAAATATCTAAAATAAACAAGAATCAGAGAAAATTAACCAGCAGCTGATTTGATAATGAAGAACCCTGCCGGCAATCGGGCGAAGGCAGGGTACACCCTGGACAGGTCGCCAATCCATCGCAGGGCTAACACATAGACAAACAACCACACACACATGCACTCCTATGGGCAATTTTAGAGACACCAATCAACCTAAGCTGCATGTCTTTGGACTGTGGGAGGAAGCCGGAGCACCCGGAGAGAACCCACGCAAGCACGGGGGGAACATGCAAACTCCACACAGAAACATCCCAGGTGGGGCCCGAACCTGGAACCTTCTCGGTGTGAGGCAACGGCGCTAACCACTGTGCCACCGTGCTGCCATGATTTTATCTGTACAGCAGAAAATCTCCAAATGTTTTGTTTCTGGTTGCAGCTCCTTAATATGTGAAGATTGGTTACTTTTTATTTGTTCATTCTCCTTTTGAGTTTACATAGTCTACAATTATTATGTAGGCTCTTACAGAAGAAATTACTTTTTTTTCCCCAAAGACAGTCTATATTCATAATCAGTAAAACCTTCCTTTGCTCAGTTAAATATGCTGTGTGGCTTTGCTGCTCTGCCTTGATGGACTAATAAATCATTTCATAACTTATTACCTAGGGTAATACTTACAGTATCGGATCTGATGCAGTATTTGAGTGCAGACTGAGTCAGTGTCATGTTCCTCTTGCAGGTATTTTGTCAAAGTGTCCTGGGGGTGGACATTGCTACTGCTGACACCCTTCCTCCTCCTCTCCAATGCCTCTTTCAGTAGGAGCGTTTCCTTCCTCAGCCAGCGGTTGCTGTCTCTGGTGGTCGCCACTGCCATCTGGTATGTCTGCACTGAGACATTCGTCTACATCGAAGATGTGACTGGCTCATGTTATGAAACTCGCACCATGGAAGTTATCAACAAGGAATTCACATCCAAAGCCAGCTGCAGGCACGCTGGCTTCCACTGGCAGGGCTACGACATCTCAGGACATTCCTTCATCCTGGCCTACTCTGCTCTTTTTATCATGGAGGAAACTGCCCCTATGGTTTCTCTGAAGACAGCCAGTCTGTCTGCACTGCCCAGGATGGTCCTCAGCCTGCTGTATGTAGCTCTCAATTTTATCATGGTCATCTGGGTGTGGATGTTTGCTTGCACCTCTGTGTACTTCCACGACCCGATTCACAAGTTGCTAGGGACCAGCTTGCACCTCTGTGTACTTCCACGACCTGTCTCACAAGTTTCTAGGGACCGTTTGCGGCCTGTTGGGGTGGTATCTGACCTATAGGGTTTGGTATCTAAAACCTCTGTCACCAGGACTCCCCCCTCAGCTCCACCTGAAGGAACAGAAGCAGCACGCCTGAGCTGTACAGCACTGTTGTTAACATTGCAGCCATCCTCACAACAACACACTACAGCTGATGTTATCTCTGTCCAGGTCCAAGCTGGTCGTACTATTTTAAGTGGTTCCTTCCTCACAGAAATGTCACTCTGTGCAGGAGGGACTGGCTTGCAGCTCCTCCATAGCATTTGGCAGCTGCTGTTCCCCAAGTAAGATTTAGTAATCTGAGATAAAAGCAAGACACCACCCTGTCATTCAGCTTTAGTCTCTGTTTCTGGCATGTTACACCACTGTTTGTCTGTCAGTTTGTTGCCTTATAATGCTTTACTCATGGATGAGTCATCACAGTATTTTAGATTCCTGCATGGGAACATTCGAGAATGTTTACAACTCTAGTTGTACGCTACTGACATGCATTTCTGCAGACCAATGTACAGTAGGTGTTCATTGTTTTTATAGGAAACTACCTTCACAGCATAGACCAGACACTCAAGCTACAGTGGAAGCACATCTCATTCTACATGTAGGATTTTAATGAGCTGGACAGTGTGCGTGTGTGTGTTTATCACCTGTTTGGGATTACTACAAGTGTGTCAACAACATTTGTAAAGTTTACTCAAAGAATGTGGAGTTTGATTAAGAATTGTAGTTGCAAATTTTTATTAAAAGGCTTTAAAGGATACGGCTGGAAATATTCGGTGTTTTACTGAGGGCTGCATGCAGTGATTCTTTTCATCATCAATTATTCTAATGATTTCTTTCTCAGTACATTTTTTAGATCTATAAAATATCAGGATACGGTGTAAAATGTCCATCACAGTTTCCTCATGCCCAGTATGATTCTTCAAATGATTTTTCTGGCCAACAGTTCAAAATAGAGATAATCAATTTACTGTCTCATAAGACAAAGAAAAGCAGCAAATCCTCTCAGATGAAAATCTGAAATCAGAGAATGTTTGACTTTTGTCCTTTGGCATACCTTTTGTAATGATCAAAATATTTGCAGATATTTGTTTTTTTGGGGGGGGGGCTAATAGTTTCAGCTCTAATTGTTCTTATTGTCAACACCATGAATATTCTGTATCAAATCTACTAAACCTGTATTTATCCCATTAATGAATGGTGCCAGTGCTAAATCAAGCTAATTCTTCTGAGTAATAGACCTCAACTGTTGTCAAAAATCTATTAAAAACACCTAATAATAATAATAATAATAATAATAATAATAATAATAATAATAATAATCTTTAATTCTATAGCACTTTTCATAACATAGTTGCAAAGTTCTTCACAACAGCAAAACATAAATGATGACCATGGAACTACTGCTAACTTGTACTATTTACTACCATTGAAATCTCACTAGAAACAGGCTTTTCAACCAACTGTGACCCAGAGACCACCATTCTGACTAAAGGGGTTGTTTCCATTATAGGAACCCACTGAAACCTGTGGTGGGGGGGGATCTGCATGTATTTCACTGTTAGCTTAAACCATGGCATTATATCCCATTATATTCCTATGTTACCAGGAATATAACACAAAAGCTTTTAACTGGAAAGTGTTGAATGACTGTGCAAGACCCAGATGCATTTCAGGTCAGGCTTAGGCATGCTTCAGGCCCGCGGTGTGAGCGGTACCAGAGTGAAATTGAGGTGGGAGGCTATGCTTGGTGGTGGTTAAGGGAAGTATGGGGTGTACCGCTCCTTAGGTTCCAATAGTGGAACGGTAGCATAAGAAGTAATCTGAGGGCCATTGTTGTGGGGTGGCTACACCAGAGGGCCACTATTTTAATCCTGAAAGTCATCTTAGCTTTTCCAAGTTGTATATTTGCAGGAATTTGATTGAAAACCTCCACACTAGAATCCCAAATGTGTATTAATCCATGTAAAACAGTCCCCAACAAAAGCTCTGTTTACTTCAATTTGAATAATGTTTGCAAAAAAATGACTGATTCTTGTCAAAATGACTGATTCTTGTTTTTTAAAGGCTGAAAGTTAAAAAACCATGTGCCCCACCCCCACTAGGAGCCAGTAGCCACCGACATGAGGGAAGTTTTTTTTTTTTGTGGGATGTGTTAACACAAAGGATGATATAGCCTAATGCCAGCCTTATCCTTTATGGGGGGGGTTGGTAAACTTAGGTTTGTGTAATGCAGTATTTTTAAGATTATTAACTGTTCACAAACAAATAACTGTCTTGTAGTCATTCTGTATTAATTTTCATGATATGGTCAATACACAGTTACAAACTCCACAGTACAGGGAGCACATTGGGTTTCTGTAAAACAAAAACCACGATGTGTATTATATATGTGTGTGTGTGTGTGTGTGTTTGTGTGTATAGAAATATGAAAAATATTATAGTGAAATAAAATGGCCACAGATCATAACTTGGATTTCTCAGCTTGACCTCTGTGTGTTCCAAGAAGAACAGCTCCAGCCCCTCAGGTTGCATGACTCCAGTCAGAAGCAGTAACCAGCATGTTTGCAGTAGTGGTTATCATGTTCCCCCCCAATACTATGTTCTACTGAATAAGTATGGAAAAGTCAACATAACAATTAAGCTCATTCTGTCATTAAAATGAATGTAGAATTTGGAAATGTACACTTTACTGTCCTCTTGCTTACTTCAAAACCCTGAAAACTCTAATATATTATAATCTTCTCTTTTGTGCCATTAACTGCTGCTCATGAATGAACACCTGGACCAAATAACCTCCGTGTTTCCTTGCATATCTCGTCTTTCCAGGCAGAAAGGACTGAATCTGAACAGTTAAATATACAACTGTTCTGCACTGTCCATATCAAAAATTAAAGTGGACACAATTAATTACAACTTCTACATTTCTAGCTGAGTTTTTCTAAGGAAAACCCAATTTAATTGTCAGACATGACATATCAAGGAGACACTGCTGATTATGGTATTTGGTTCACGGTGTGCTGCTAATCGGCACCTGCAGAGACGAGTTTATGTAGCAGGGGAAACATAGTGAGTCCTTCCTGCAAGAATGTCTGCATAAGCAGCAAAAAGCAGCTTAATACTCCAGCTAGTATCTAGCATCATAAGTTAAGCCTAAAAAGGAGCAGAATTCTAATTGTTAAACCCACATGGTCTGACAAAGACAGGCTCCTATTAGAGTGGGGAGGGCAACAACTAGGCAGCTGGTAGGGCTACTCCTTTAGCGTTAAACCCACATGGTCTGACAAAGACAGCCTCCTATTAGAGTGGGGCAGCTGGTAGGGCTACTCCTTTAGCGCTCAGCTCCAATTGTGTTCTCCTTATTTAACCTTTGAGCTAATGCATAATGCGCAGTAAAATAAATGATACAGTGTATAAAACCAATCTTGCTACTGCAGCAGTGATTTTCTTGCTCAGTACTGCCGAGGGTCCATCTCAGGTGCTTGAGAGATTACACTTCATCTGCAGTCTGATGTTCAGCAGTGATCATAAACTCTGCCTCTGGGGCCACTCCTTCCAACAAGCACTGAAATATGCTGTACATCCTAAACCCAATGCAACACTATTGTGCCATAAATGCAGAATTTACTGCGTCACTTCCAGTTCAGTCAAGTGTAGCTTGTCAAACACCTACAATTCATATATGATAGAGAGTGACAGTGGACCACTGTGTGCTTTGTGATCTGTGGTGCTCTAAATAAACTGACTCAGAGTGCACGTGTCTCTGTGTGTGTCATTGTGTGTAGGGTACAGAGTTCAACATTTTGGGATAAGCACTTGCTTGCATTCTTGCTGAGAGATTGATGACGCTGTTGTGTGTGCAGTAAATCTGAAGCTACAGCCAGTTAGATCAGCTTAGCATAACATCTGGAAACAACTTGCCCCCAGTCTCGGCTTTTCATGCAATTACCATTACATTCAAGTCACAGTGCTGAGCAGCTGGTTTTGGTAAATGTAAAACCCTCTGAAAATCACAGCATGTCCTTTAGAAACACTAAAGCTGCTTGTATACGTTGTCAGGACTTGTCTGCAGTGGTGGAAGAAGTACTCAGATTGTTCACTGAAGTAGCAATACCACAGTGTAAAAACACTCTATTAGAAGTAAAAGTCCTGCATTCAAATTGTTACTTAAGTAAAAGTACAAAGGTATTAGCATAAAATATACCTAAAGTACTATAAGTAAAAGTACTCATTATACAGAATGGCACAATTCACATGAGTGTATATCATATATGGGACTATAATTATTAATGTTCTATTGTGTACATCACATGCAGCTGGTAAAGGAGGAGCTAATGTTAACTACCTTATATGCTTATACTTTGAATTACTTTACATACTGCTGGTTAGCCTGTGAATTTCCAACCAGGGATCAATAAAGTTTTAGGATTGTAATGTATTGTTTTTAATTAATCTCAGTCTCAAAAGAAACTAGTAACTAAAATGATCAAATAAATGTAGTTGAAGTATGAAGTAGCAGAAAATGAAAATACTCAAGTACAGATACCTTAAAATTGTTCTTAAGTACAATACTTGAGTAAATGTACTTGGTTACTTTCCACCTCTGCTTGTCTGATGGTCAGACACTACCACACCATTCCACAGCGGGTTACAGAGTGTGACACAGAGAAACAGGCTGTGGTTTGAGAGCTCGGGGAAGCTGCTGCTGTAACGGTGTGGTCCTGCCCAGTAGCCAGAGATGGCCCAGGAGGAGGGCTGTCCTCTCCTCACAGATCCATATATCTCCAGTGTATGCAAATCATGCTCTCCTTAGGTCTGCTCCTCCACGCCAAAACAGTGATAGAACAGTGAAACTGAAAACCACTAACATTAAGAAAAACTCTGTCATTGAAAAAGACTGACATCGACAAAAAATCTGAACATCAAATTTAATTTTCAATGCCAAAACGTCACAGTCCTGGCTCCATAATATATCTCCTTGCTTGATTTGTACAACCTGAACCAAAATGTAAACCTTTCTTATCAGTTATATTAGTATACACTGATGTTTCTTTCCAGTATTTAATATTTTATTTAAAAAAAACTTGTATTTTGCTTGTGTTGTACATAGTAAACAGATGTAATTCTTGCAACTTAAAAAAATGGGTTAGCAGATTTTTATATTGTTTAACAGGTTGAATATTTTTTTATCCAGGGAGAGAGTTGTTGACCATGGTGAAAATATGTGGGGTAAAGGGGGACTAGCTGTTTCCTTCTGATGCTAGGCCTAAAATCATATTTAGCCCCCAGACAAGAGACCTTCAGGGCGACAGTAATGGTAAATGGTCTTATACTTGTAGAGCGCTTTTCTATGCATTGCAGCACACTCAAAGCGCTTTCACACTATTTGGCCATTCACCCAAGAAACTTAAGTTCATATGACTCAAATATTACACAAGCACTTACACATTCGTCATCACCGGGAGCAACAGGGGGTTCAGTGTCTTGCTCACAGACACTTCGACACGTAGACTGGATATGGAGGGAATCAAGCCGCTATTCTTCTGGTTAGGAGACGACACGCTCTATCTCCTGAGCCACAGCCGTCCCCTAGCATTAGTGGTTGTTAAACTACCTTCTGGGTGTAAAGACCCCTGGGTAATTATGTTTCCTTAAAATCTTATGCTCAGCGCTAACTCAAACAACGTTTATACACAAAATGCACAAAAAAGGGCTGGCTCTGTCCAAAGGTATCAAATTCTGCCCACCAACACCTATGAAGTTCACGCCCCATCTAAAACTCATAATCCATTGCTCTGTTATCTATGTCACTTCTTTTATTGCCTGTAGAGGGTCATAGAGGGCGTTAGAGCCAATCCCAGCTGACAATGGGCAAGAGGCAGGTTACACCATGGACAGGTCGCCAGTCTATCACAGGGCTGACAACCAACCACTCACACTCATGTTCACACTGAAGGGCTGTTTAGAGTCACCAGTCAACCTAAGCTGCATGTCTTAGGACTGTGGGAGGAAGCTAGAGAACCCCCACAGGCACATGCAAACTTTACACAGATAGGCCCTGGTCGGCTGTGAGGCTCAAACCGGAGACAACAGTGCTAAATGCTGCCCCTCCACATAAAACCACATAGACTATAATTATTTTTGGTACAAATTAAACAAATGAGATATGTTCCCAGTCTTGCTAAGCTAGGCTAACAGCCTCCTAGCTGTAGCTTCATATTTAGCACATAGACCAAGTTTTGACAAGAAAGTGAGTAAGTGAATTACCCACTTTATAGTTTGCCTCCAAATTTTCACTATTTCATCTGGTAAATTCTGGCAGCACAGGACTTATCAGAAAGTATCTGTCACATACATTTTCCTGCAGTTTTACTGGTTAAACATCAAGGAGATGGAGAAGTAAAAAGCAGGTATGGAAAATTACTATAATAGTGGCACGCAAAGGTCAGTTAACCCCTGTTGGTGTTACTGTGTTTAACATTTTTACTTCTGGTTCCAGTTTACTGCAGGTGGACCTGTTGCATGCCTCCAACAAAGGTTTAAAGATATACAAAAGAAGCAGGTTTCCAGAAATAAAACTCAGTGAAGACCTTGATTACCAGAAAATGTGCTGTCAAGAATTTCATATAATGGAATGTTTTAATATTTCTTTGTTCACCCAGTTATACTGTTCTCTATATAGATTCACTGTGTTTTCCTGCAGCCATAAAACATTACAGAAAAGTTGAATCATCTCACAAATACACAGACATTTAACACAACAAGAGGGCATTCACTACATGTATTTCTTTTTTAAATACCAGTAAGCAAAGTAGCCCATCCCTCCCAGCGAGCCCATGAGAAAAGACGCCCCGAAGAAAGATGGCGGCTTCTTTTTTACCATCCGAAAGGCATTGGGTAGGACTGCAGACAGGAGGGTCGTGTGGATGTCACCCAAGACCTTGCGGAAAGCGTAGCGTTTGTGTACACGCACGTAAAAGGACTGCAGGTTGGGTCGGCTGCCGTCCTCCCAGTATTTCTTAGAAAGTCCCAAGAACTTGAGCCTGTGCAACAAGGCTCCGAGGCAGATATCAGCTAGTGTAAATTCAGGTCCACATAGCCACAACTCGCACTTTTGATCTGCAAGGGCAAAAAACAAAATTCATAACAGCACTGTTAGAAATATTTGGACTATGTTTTGGTCTCATTTTGACCAAAGATAATGTACAGTGCATGTGGTGGTCATACCTTGATACTCTAGTTTCCTTTTCTCCAGTTCAGCCTCCACTTGATCTAAAACCATGGCTAACTCCCCTAGAACTTTCTTCAGGTAATTCACATTATCGTGGTCTAAGATTTTTGCCTGGCAATCAATAAAGAAAGAAAAAGCTTTAATCTCAGGCCAGAGGCAAAGCAGCGTGCCTGATTCTTTTATCATAAAGTATGCTTATGTTATAAAAGGTGACAGCTGATCTGAAGGTGTGTTTTGAGCTAAATGCTAACATTGGGATGCTCACTTGTCAAAGCTAACACGCTGATGTTAAGCAGGAACAGTGTTTACCATGCAAACTTTGGCTAATTAGCACTAATCACAAAGCAGGCTGATACTGATGGGAGCCTCATGGACGAATTACTGTTCCGACCTGATGGTGGCTCTAGATAAAAACTCAGGAATCACCAGAGTTAATAAAATTCATTCTAATTCAAGGAAACCTCTCCAATATTTGCCTCAAACCCACAAACATTAACTTCATTCGGAAACTATGAATGTCTGTATGACATTTGCTGCCAAGTAGATGTTGAAATATTTCATAGGATTAGTGAAAACTTTGGCCGACTTATAATACTACAGGAAACCTTTTGTTTCGAATGGATGATGAAACAGCTGTAACTATCTGTTCTGTGTTTTCTCAGCCTCCAATTATGTACTAATAGCAGAGTATAAAATTATTATTATTTAATAACAGATACAAACAGCATCATTACATCTGGATGTTTGCAACATGAACTGTATTTAGGTTAACAGTGCCGTCTCTTTGCTTTTTAGCGGTATTTAGTAGTATAATTACAGGAAACCGCTGAATGTTTTTAATTACCAAATTTCCCTCAGCCGCAGACCTATAGACAGTCAATAGCAAAAAATATCAACAGGGCAAACAATCCAGTTCAGTCACACTTATTAGTTCTGATCTTTATTAAGAAGTCACATATTTAACAGGTAGATCACAGATTAGATAAGAGCCCTTAATGGCTTTTCTGCATGGACTGCAGACTTTTTAGTGTTTCAAAACCTTTTAACAATGTACAAATTTATATTTCACTAAATAAATCACTAAATAATTAGCATCTTAAAAACTTTTATTTTTCAATCGAGATGCTAATTCAGGTCTTCATCCCAGCTGTGGGCGAAATTACAGACAGATTAATGGACATTAATACTGTTAGGGTTTAAAAATTTTTTACAAGACTGCATGAAAGGCATCCATGAATTTTTACCTTGATTATCCCCTTTAATGTATAAAATAAGGGAATGATTTTCATGTAATTTACCAGTTACAGTGGGATTTGCAGTTTAATACATGCACTCAAATATAAATATAATATATTGCAGTCTATTAATAGTTCCCTTTAAGTCCCATTTAAATGCCCTAATTCCATCATTATGAGGTTATTGGGTCATTTAATTAAAATTTAAAATAAAAAAATTAAGGGATTGTGTTTGTTGGTTGTTTCTCTCTTATACACAATATTACAATATATTAGGAACCAGCAAACAATGAAATCATATAAATGCCAATGTAAACTTACCATGAGCTTCTTCTGCTTGGACAGGTACGGTTCTGTCAGCTGTGGCTCCTCATGGTCCAACCTCATCAGCTCTGTTGCAGCATTGGCCAGGTGTCCTGAAATCACAGAGTGAGCGCAGGTTAACTGTGTCTTCGTCTTCAGGGAGGAAAAACTACAGTATTGTTGATAATATTGTAAATGAGACACTGTGTCCTCCAACCAGTGTTTCTAACATACAGTATTTCTAACACAGACACCCTGGAACCAGGGTTTAATCCTCAGAGGAGTTATTGGACCGTCCAGAGAGCGCATTCTGTCCATGTTGCCTTCTTAGAAGGGAGACACACTGTGTGCTATGTTTTATTGCTTTATGAATCTCACAGGATAAGTTTGCTGATACTCCATACTGTTCCTACTGTTAACAAACTCATTAAAAGACTAAAACCAACAATAAATAAACTCATCCTTTTAACAAGCACTGGTTGTGTATCCAAAGCCTGATATATCCTATTTGCGTGTGCCATAGCTCTGTGGTTGACCAGGAACATGTCAGTGAGCCACACTGTTGCACTGGGTCATTACCGGTTTATTTTGTCCCAGAGCAGGAAATGTGTCTACATCAGTCCCCAACCAATGCACTATTTCTTCCTGTTTGGGTAACATTAAAAAAAAATGAAATGATATCATGTCCTCTATTAAAAATGCATGTCTTCAGTAGAACTAGCTGGGATGTGGCTGAGTGTGACAGGCTGGGTAGGGAAGTCAGGAAGTGACTCTCACACCGTTAGATTTTGTTCACATGCTATTTTGTTGAATATAAAAAATATATATTGCCAGTCTTATCCTTTACAGTCTTACACATCAGTTTGTAGCACAATCTTTAGTCTTCAGTAGCTACACTACAAACATGTAACAATAACCTTTTATCATAAAAATAATACAATAAGATGGACCCTGTTTTAGTGTGAAATGTCCCTTTACTCTGCAACATGCTCAGGCAACTCTGAAGCTGATCCAGTTTGATCCAGATTCAGACAACACTGGTTTTAAAGTGAAAAACTATTTTACATAAAACAAACAAACATGAGTGCACACAAACATCACTGATGCACAGTTCTATTAAATACTCCATCAGGTTCATTTTCTAGCTGTAACACAGACTGGCCAGGGTTTCACTGGATAATTAATTGTGCTGCAGATTTTTCTGTAATCCAGGTCAGTGCTGTGATTTACATGCCGAGGCCATTACCTGATGGAAGGAGCACTAAACCTGGCATCAATGTGCTGCGCTAAGGGTTTCTGTACTGAGTAGAGTCAAACTGCACAGTATACTAATCAGGCTGTGCACACACAAACAGGGATTTGTTGGGCCATGATGTGGAAGATGCTGTGAGTAAGATTAATGGCTTTGCATCCATAATGCCTGTGTGTTGTTTTTGCTTCAGGAGACTAGATGGTCATTCACCTCGATTGCTTGTGAATGTTCAGAAGAATGCGTTCAAAACAGTGAAATCTATTCAGGTTATGTGCCAAAAAACAAGAAACTCTCACTCTCATTTGAACTGTTAGGAATAAAAGGCTAACAGGCACATACGTATACAAACCAGACACATCGGTAAACCCACATGCATTCATTCAGAACATTAAACGTGTGAACGTGCACTGTGAAGCGCAGCAGAACACAGTCACATTAG